TAGCAACCGTTAGTTTTGGTCTGATATTAAGCAATTGCGAAATCTTCTCAACCCAGTAAAACGGGCTATAAAAAGTATAGAGTTTCAAACTACTTCATTGGTAGACATATTTATTGAGCTAGTAAAACTAGCTATTTCAATTTAAGACATTTCTGTTTTATATAATAGCCAGTTTCAGCATGATTGTATTGCGATTTATAATAAATGATGGAAAGAATTCAATATAGAATTATATCTTTTAGCATTTTTTTTTACACCCAACTTATCGCGGTATTTTGAATTTAACAGATATTTAGTGTGCTTTAAATAAGTGCCACAAAGAAAAACCCTGCAAATCTTATAAGATTTGCAGATTTTCTCTTTGTGGTATTTGTAAATAAGTATTTAAATTTATTTATTTGTTTTTTATTTTATATAACAGAATATTTTTTTAAACATGGTACATATAAATGTTATGTTTTTAAAAAGGCATTAAAAATATGGAAACAATTAGGCGATGGTCGAACAAGCGCTGACCTTCTGAGGACTCAAATAAATTTGTACAGAAATAAAGAAGTGCCTTTTGAAGATAAATTTGTTGAATCTGCTAATACATTAACTAATTGGTAAATGTCCGTCGAATTTAAAAAAAATGAAGATCACATAAAGACCCTTGCTATATGAATATATTCTATTTCTTCTCATAATACCACATGTGAATATACCTTTAGTATACTAGACTGGTATTTGGGAAAGAGGCAAATTAAATATATTTATTTATTTTTTTTTTATATATTTATTGTAATTTTATATCATTAGCTTAAATTAAATACTGTTTTTAGATTAAGTGTTGACCGACTAGAGTTAATGTCTCAAATGCATTCATATTTAGTAGAAAATGCTAAATCTGAACTTAACTATATAGATCAAAATTTTTGCAAAGAATAAAATTGCAAACTCAATAGAAATGGCACTGATTTGTTCGATAGTGATTCTGTTTCTCTGGAAGAACTTGTTGAAGATACGGAAGATACAGAAGAGTCTTCTGAGGAAGTAAATGATTTTGTTGGAGAAAATTCATTAAATTTAGAAATTGAAAATTTAATATCGTTATCTTCCAAGCTAGAGTTTAACAAACCATTAAGTAAAGAAGTTGTGTATAGTGATAAAAACTTCGACATAAATGATTTGATTAATAACTCAGACTAATAATATAAGTATTGTTTAAAGATAGTTAATTAAAAAAAAAAGATCAATTGAGAAAATTCGCATATTGTAGGTTCTGATTAGTTATTACTAAACCAGGTATAATGATTTCGAAGGCATATATAATTCTAAAGTTATTATTTGAAATTGAATAATAAATAAATGGGACTTGGAGTTAAAAAAAATAAACATATAACATTTTTTTATTGTAAGGTTAGGGGGCATGATGTTAGATATTTTTTATCAAAATGGAATTGGAAATGAAAGGACTAACATGAGACATTCATATTTATCAAAAAACCAGAGATTGGAAATTTCAAAAGAAATGTATAATGTTGAATAAATGGAACCAAGGTCAAAAAAGATGAAATCAGAAGATATTCATTTTTACTGTCAAATTCGAGATGCACTAAGGAAACATAATTTATTAAAATGGAATTTAGAATCGAAAAAGATGAATATAAGGCATTTATTTATAGCATGTTATTAAAATCTGTTGTTTCTCATGACCAAAGAATTTGGCCAAAAAATAGAATATATATTTCTATAATTATGAACAAAAAAAAAAAAATTTTTTTTATATATAAATGTTGTGCATCAGATATACCGAGTTTCATTAAATTATGTTAGAAAAAAAGTATTTATTATTATTTTAATTTGACGCACAATATAAATAAGCACAGAAAAGGAATATTATTGTAGATTTTGAATCAACTTGGGTAAGTTATAATAGAATTCTAAAATGTACTCGAATTGTTAAAGAATTAAATAGATTATAAATTATTTTTATCATTTCAGGTTTAAGTTGCTTTAATATCTATTCATAATGCAATACAGAACAATCTAATTAAACGTTAAAAGCATTACATAAAACTTTTACATTTATGGTTATTAAGGATGACAACTACAGTACTACTACAAAGCAAATTTATAATGATTTTTATTACATATACTGTATTTAGCATTATCTACTTGTGAAGAGAATTAGAGGATTGTAGTATAGATGCTTCTCAAATGCTTAAGAACATTGAAGGAATTCTATACAACTCTGAAAACCTGTCTGAACCCAATGAAAACCAAATTTTTACACATTATTTTTGATGTTATATTTTGTAAATTTTTATTGTTTGTTAATTGTGATTTTAGATTATAGCAATATTACTCAAGAAACCTGTCACCAGATTGAAATAGTTGTAAAGAATAAAAATAGAATGAAAAAAATAATAAAAGTTTGCATTTAAATATTTTGACCATAGATTAAAACAACAGAATGCAATTTACTTTTTATAGCCCGTTTTACTGGGTTGAGAAGATTTCGCAATTGCTTAATATCAGACCAAAACTAACGGTTGCTA